TTTTTACGTAAGTTTCATCGTCCATCAAAATGTGAGTGCGCAGATTTTTTTCACGTCTGTCACGTTCCATCTTTGATAACTTTTGAACAAGTATATGAATCTTGATGAGATTTTCACTACTAAATAAACAATCCTTCCGGATCAAAACGCTGTCAATAGTCAATAGTTGTTGCACAACCAGGAAAAAAGCACTTCAAAGGATTCAGGACAAAGTTCTGAAGATGATTTTGAAGTTGCCACCCTGGTACAGTACTACCGAGGTACATAGAATGTCGAATGTTGAGACTTTAGAACAATTGTCCAAAAATTTGCAAAAAAAAAACATAATTAATAATTTCAGGCAAAAATCGCTGCAATCCAATTGCAACGATTAATTCCCTTTATGCTTAGATAAGATTTAGTTTTACTTTTTAGTTTTAAGATTTCAATTGTTATACTGACATACAGGTTTAAAAAACCTGTTTAAAATACTGAATTTCCAAGGCAGGAACAATGTAAAAACACTTAGATATATATCATAACAATTAAGGCTGGTAAGTTACTGTAGTAACTGGAGCACCTAGGTTAGAATGAAATGTAATTTATTTTGAATTTGGAACAAATAAATAGTGAAAAAAACACACACACATCGCACATGACCGTTCCTAACGCGCGGAGCATCAATTCATGTGAAAAGTAGACACCGACTTTCCATGAGAAGTCTTTATGCTATCTTAATCTATCTGTCTCGTCATTCTGGAGAATAACTATTGGATAGAGTTTAAGTACAAATTGATGTATAAAAAGTAGTTATTTGTACGTAATTTGAATTTGTATGTAATTTCCACAACTATTCCAAGTCCATGAGGCTTCAAAAACATGCCCTGAAATCATATAAAGGTTCCCGATCAGTAATGAGCTTCCCTGACAAAAAAGTAATGTTCCCTTAACTTCTGTTCGGATTTGCGACTAACCCTACGCGGTGAAACTGGGGTTGAAAACGGTTTATTTCCTCGCCTGTTATTGTACAAGAATAACACGGTTGATGCGTTCGGTTTGAAAGTATATTTTTGGCTTACTTGTATTGTTCTCTGGCTATCAAATGTATCTATACGATCAGTATCAGAGAGTGTGTGTAGAGAACCGAAGAAGCACGAATTCAATAGGCCTTTTGGTTCATCTGGGGTACCAACTCTAGCTGATATGGTTGATAAGCAACGAAAGTGTTGCATTGGAGAAAAAGAAAGACATCTATTCTAGCTGTATAATTTCAGTAGGGTTCACTATCCATTCTATGAAGCTCCTCAAACTTAAATAATTTTTTCACTTCTAACTTGAAGTTTTACGAAGTTCCCAGAAGTTAAAGAGGGGTCCCTGGGCTCATGGCCAATTTGTAGAGCCTGTACACGTCTTGTTATGCCATTGATTAAATATCGATATAATATAATTTCACAAAACTGCTTCTTCTAGTCCAGAACATAAGAAAGGTAATCAACATAAAGGACTTTAAAAAATTCTTTGTTTGTAGTCCAATTTTATTAATCACTGTTAAATATAACATCGAACTTGACAGGCTTGATATCAAAACAAGCAAAAACACCAGTAAATATGAGATGGGGTTTGGATAATTCTAAACGGGGCTGGCCCCCTGTGCTTCGTCAACGCTCTTTTCCGCCAGATGCTCGGTCTTTGATGGTATCAGTTCAACCGGACGGGCTGGTTCTTCTAAAGAAGTACATTTGACTGAAATCGACTTCCCTTCAGTCGTTAGCATCTCTGGAAATTTTCAACCTTCGAGATTTCCTTGTTAGGAAATGTGCTTTTATTCACTTTTTTATCATGTCTAGTAAACAATGTCGGATGAAATTTATGATTGATTTACAGAGATATTGAGAATTGTTTTAAATTTATTTAAAAAACACAGTTTTTGACTTTCTCGCCAGACTATAAAAGCACAGTTTATTTTTCGTTGTCATTTTTTTTTCGCTCGTTTTGTGCCCCGGAAGGGCAGAAGGCCGGAAATGGATCGGAAACGCCACGTCGTGCCGCCGCCGGTCAGGAATCGCACAACCGCCACACCGGCCAAGAACCACATGAAGAGCAATCTGCCCATCGGAAGCGGCGTCACGGATTCGGGAAAACCCAACGGCCACAGCAATGGCTCCAGCAAGACATCATCGTCGAATGGACATCATCAGAAAGGAAACGAAGTCGCTCATACCAACGGCCATAGCAGAAATGGGAGCAACGGTAACACTGCAAACGGACACAGCAACGGTACTTCCACATCATTAGCGCCATCGCAGAATGGATCATCTTACAGCATTCCGGGTGGTGAGCGAACACGATGAAGAAGAAGAAGATGCCTGTATCACAGAGCCCCGTCTCGGAATGAGTGTATTGTTGATTGACCTGGTCGACCATTCAAGATTGGTTTCTGTGATGATGAGTATCACAAAAAAGGTAAAATAAGTAGCACGATCTTCATCGAAATGTAAGTATTATTGACAATAATCATAACAATCAACTCGTATATACATTGAAATACATATATAAAAGGGAAGGCACGGTCCAACAGGGCACCCGATTGAAGCGATTTGGACGGGGAGAGTGGGAATGCCAACTCCCTGTTGATAACATTTCGTGGATAAAGGGCGGGCTCTTCTCCCCACTCATTGGGGCATCTTGCTGTTTGGGGGCTTGTCTTTTTGACCAATTGGCTGATCAAATTGTTGGAAGGAGATTCTTTATTGTTCCGTAGATGCGTATAGGCGACTTTGCCTATCGATCTACCCAATCCGTTTTTGGCCCTTCATACAGCGACATGTTGAGGACAATCAGAGGTTATTAAGCTTCATCAAGACAACCAGAGAAGAGAGCCTACTGCTGTCGGACTTAGTTTCCGTGCTACAATGGGTGGTAAATCACTATCATTATCTACAATTGATGTATAACAAGTTTCGAAGAATAACGGATCGGAGCAGTTGTGCTGATGAGTTTCTTTATTCGAGGTTTGCCAGATGCGGACAAGCACAGTTCCAACCTTTGAATAAATGATCATCTAGAGAGAGAGAGAGAGCTAAACTTAATTTAACTTCGAGTTTTACTGTTGATTTACTTGAAAAAAAAAGAAAGTCCGCTCGAAACGTGGATGCTCATCGTTTGGGCACTTCAATCAGAGCTTAAATGCATCGCCAAGACTCCAGAAGTGCGTGCCACCTGTTATTCAATTTCGTGACAAATAATATGGGTGGTAATTAAGGTAAAGAAGGGAAATTTTAATTTAAGTATGCTAGGTTGAAGACTATATATATATAGTATATCTGAAATATACTGTTACAGGTATATCTCGATATAACGTAACTGTCACTTTTAACTTCTATCGCTGATTGTTCGCAAATTATCATTCAAACAAGCAAAATAATATAACCAGCGGACAGATGAGGGCCTCATAGCCTAGTCAGTAAAGGCACGGTATTACCAAGCCGGAGGCGGCGGGTTCGATTCCCGGTCCGTTCGAGGGAATCTTTCGGGTTGGAAATTTTCTCGACTTCCCTGGGCATAGAATATCATTGTACTTGCCACACAATATACAAATTCATGCATTGGTATTGGCATCGAAAGCTCTCAATTAATAACTGTGGAAGTGCATTTAGAACACTAAGTTGAGAGCACGCAATAAGCTAATGTGCACTAAGCTATAAGCTTGAAATGCGAATAAGAAGAAGAACCGGACAGATGAGATAATCCTCCATCTATTGGTAATATTAATTTGTATGATTCAATTATTATTAGCGATATATAGACGATGGAAGTCAAAAGTGACAGTTACTTTATATCGAGTTATTATACCTGTATTTAAAATTCATACAAGCGTTCAATGACAACTTTTTAGTAAGAAAACTGACATACGTTTGACGATATGTTAAAATCATTGACTTTATTCCCTTTTTCTGACTGGTTTATTACTAGCTTAGTACTTCAACAAAACAACAAAACAAAACATTTGAGAGCTTTCTAAACCTGTCATTGCTTTTTTTCATGATTTGTTTTCCGTCGATCTTGTTTTTCTTACTGAGTACCAATGCTACCGACGCCACGGAGGCGGCAGTTCCCACACCTGGACCCTACCACCTATCGACCCATGAATCCATGAACCGGTGACCAACGGCTTTACTTCTGGGTGTGCGCTGTCAAATCAGCCTACTGATCATTCTTGTATGAAATTGATTCTAAACGTAAACAAACCCTGTGGGTTTCTTATGGATTTTGATTACGCTTGAAACCAGTTTGTGCATCAGAACCTTTAGGGTGAGAACCAGAACCAGGTCCTTTAGGGTGAGAGGCAATCACGCTTACCACTACACCACCGGCGCCACTGCCTGTCAAGTACAATGCAGGGAAGTCGAGCCAACTGAGAGCAGGCATAAGGTCTAATAGGAAACATAATCAATTATTAGGACTTGATGCATATATGAACAAGAAAAAAATGCCCATAATCACATAACTGTCCCATATGGATAGAAAATCCAACAAAGCAGAAACAGATAGGCGGTTTTAGACAACAGCTCAATTAATTAAAAAAAAATGTTACTGACATGCTAAAAACTACTTATTCTTTAAGCATAAGATTGTGATTCCATAGTTATTATTCAGCTTTTCACAATACGTGTGTGCTTTGCTCAATAAAAGCTCGATGTTGATCATTTACTCATTTGGTTTCGCTGGAGCGGATATAGGTATCATATTCTACTCGTAACATAGCCATCAATCACGTTGAGTTTCCTCTCGCTATAGTAGTTAGGAGCTACTCTGCTACACTGCTTGTCAGCTTAATATATGTGTGTGCTCTCCACCACCGGTGGTCGATCTCATCGACGCTCGATGATAGAATGAGTCATTTTTTTAAGCCCATTTCCCTTATGCTACATTGCAATCATTCTGCAGCCGTTCGCTCAATCACTCATTCTCTCTGTTGCTGTCTACACTTTTTGGGGATAGGAAGGATTACCCACACTTACCTATCGAAGCTGACGGATACTTTGAATTTTTTATTCTCTTCCATATTACCCTGGCCTGAAGATGACGAGGTTGAAATATTGTTGAATCCATCGCGATCAATATTTGAATTATTGTTGTACTGTGGTGGTACCGGTTGAGCAATACCCGGGGGTGGAGGAATCATCACTGGTCCTCCAACACCCATCGCACCTGGTGGAATTTGAGGCCCTGGGGGTAACGGTGCCTGGTGCAAAGGTGGGGGAGTCAAAGGCCGATGATTGTGAGGATTATGATGATGATTATTGTTTCCAATATAATTGTTGTGCTGGTGACTGTTATTCATGTTGGGAAAATGGTATGGGATTTCATGACGATTGGCGGACGTGCTTGATCCAGATGACAAAGACTGTCGTTGATTGTGATTTGGTGGATAAGTCCACACGATCCCACTAAGATGAAAACCAACTTGTAATACATCTTCTACACATCCAGATTCAACAAGTTTTAATCCGGCACAGAAACTCAAACTTTGTGGTTCGACAGAATTAATGGATGAAACCCTGCAAGGTATAAAAAAATGTGAATATTTGTTATGTTAAATTGCAATATTGGTTTTTACCCACCTGGAAAGAGAACTGTACATGCAGATATCCTTTTCATTTCGAGGAAATGACCAAAAAATGATCCTTCGCTGCACTGGCTCTGGTATACGATCGTATCGTTCTTCAATTTTCTGAAAAGGTTCATTTTGCGCTACAAGTCTGGCTGTTGTGTCCAGCAAGCTGTCAGGTTGCTGTAATGATCCGCTGGGACATCTCGAAGATGATCCATTAGAGTTCCTGTTGCAATTGACTCCACCAGAAGACGTTTTGTCACAGCAAAGCATTTTTAGACAGTTCAGTATATACTTTGATAGCTATTACACTCTATTCCGTTAACTTCTCACGTTGGGTCTGAGATGATTGTATATTAATTATACCTTAGCACAGTCTGATCATTCATACTGAAACGAACCATTTTATACGGTTTCGTCTGCAAGTTAGCTAATAACCACTTTTTGAATGAATAAATGCACTCTACTTCTTTGAGGCAACGTGCATCTACACCCTATGGTTGCTCATACTATACTGCATCTTCGAGTGTTCGTTTGATGTTCCGTCCTCAACATCGTTATTCCGAAAGGAAATGTTCGTTTTCACTTGTCTGTAAATGCTCAGTGAGTGAACTGAGAGATGATTTCAATTCCCTCTTCACTAGGGATTTGGTTCATTTGCTATGTTGCTTTGTACACCAACGGTGGTGTAATCCACACGAACTAAGGGGCCGTTGTCATCCAATGCTCAAATGGATGGATGGATTGATGACTGTTCGGGGCTCACTCTCTTGTGATCACACACTCTCCCGCGCTCCGGTGGTATTTTTTGTTATCATACGGTAAACCTCAAGCTGAGAATGTTACTCAATGATGGACCCCCTCGGCGTGGTTGTAGATGAGCTCCCCAGTCGATTCGTGTCGGTTTATCCGAATATAGATGATTCAATTACAATGAATTTGTATTTTTAGTGTAACCTGTTTGTTCATCAACGTTTTCCGTCAGCGCAGATAATCTGAAAGAGAGAATGAAGAGAAGAGATAGAAATTAGTGACAGCTTTGTATAATAAAAACATAAATTTACGGAAGAAAAAAAACGGCGCTCACACCACCTGCAAAGATGAATAAACCGGTAATTTGAGAGAGTTGCACTATAATGAGAGGGTGACCGTGCGCTAGAGAGAGATGCAAGCAATAATAAAGAACTGTGAGAAACATAAACAACCTCAATTTATCACCGCACGTGAATTAAAATATAAAGTAAATAGACGTACATAAGAAGGGTGCGAGTCATACATAGAGAATATTTACACAAAGAGAGAGTGAGAGAGAATATTCGTCCATAATATGGATGTTATGCGTTATGAAAATTTATGAATTGATAAACATAACAGGGAAAGATGATATTTATAGCTGGTAGGTATATGCCGCATATGCCTAAGGTTATTTGAAAATTAAAATTTTTAAGAAAGCTGTTTAATTGATAATAGTAACTAATAGTACTGCTTGTTTCATCACTTTACATCAATCCTTATGTGTTAAACTAATCATTTTATTTGGTTTATTTTGCAAACTATATGTAAAGAATTATAAATAAATACATATATATATATATATATATTTTCTTAATACCAATAATAAATTAAGCAACGTCTGCTACTTGTATTCAGAGACTAAAGAAATTTGCATGTGTCTCAGAAGAAGTCAGGTGACCGATAGCTCTTTCGGCCAACTTTAACTCAGAAATAATTTCTACATCTTAATTTAAAGAATTTGAGCATGTTTGGGTGAACATGTACATAGCAGGTAAAACACACGTATTCGCCTCAGTGTATTTTCTACCAGACCATGTTCATAAAAACACTTATGAAGCCTTCTTCCAATGTGCTGAACAAATTTTATATCAACTTCCTTCTGAGGTTAAAGTTCACATCTATTTAGACTCTTAACAACGCCATACTGACTATTTTACTCCCAGTTGTCGGGGATAATGAAACATTGCAGTTAATTTTTTACAAAACTGCAAATAAATCACATTAAAAACCAACAAAATTGCCAGTTATACTTTTATTAAGATTTTTCTATGACCGAATCATTAAATCCATTGTGAAAAAATGAAGCGTTCCATATAGCAATTGAATTCTCTTATTTATTACTCTTTATTATGTCACGCTCTTAAGGCGGTGAGGGGAGGGGGGATGTAAGATTTTGTGACAAGCAATGCATTAGGTATAGAAAAAAGGTGGCGAAAGGGGGGAGGGGAAGTAATTGTTTCCTCAATTTTGTGTGACATAATTAATATATGCCACCCATGAACACCAAAGACTCAACGATAGCGAATACCAGGAAGTCTTTGAATACCAATTAGCAAAATATGGAAATACTAAACATAGGTGAAACGATGTCAATTGGCACATAATGTTTAGAAATGAAGGAAATGCCGAAACTGCTGTAAACGTCATTTATAAAATTAGTGAAAATTTAGCAAACTATTTGGACAACTTGATTTAAGCATCAGTAAATGCATTTGTGGAATGTAATTCAAAAACTAAACTTGAAATAAAGTCCTGTCCGAAGAACTTCTTTAATTACATAAAAACCTAATTAAAATCTATCAGTTTTCCTTCAACAATTTGTCTTAGCTCAGAAAAAAAATTGTAATTTTTTGCATTTTTTTTTCAAGTGACCTATACGACATTTTCGGAAGAACATTTTATCCTGAATTTTCAAGGGACATTGATGTCAATCAACTTAAAGTGCAGGATATTTTGCAGGAATTTCATTTTTATTTTCATTTTGCAGCGTTTGGTGGGGCAATGGGAGCGCAAGTCAATCCAAAGCCGAGGATAAAGGAAGGGTAATGGCTGAATAGTCTATGCGGACCACTTGAACGCCATGGGAAAAGGAAGGGATTAAAGAGGTCGGTTATTGGGTGGTTTTGAGGAAATGACACATAGTACTAGATTTGTGTTGCAAAATGTAAAGAAACCGAAAATCCATCTCCCACTGATTCATCCTTTCACATATATACCAAATTAGCGGCGCCGGTGGTGTAGTGGTAAGCGTGATTGCCTCTAATAAATCAAAGAAAAAAAATATATATACCAAATTGTTATTTTAAAGCAACCATCAAAATAAACAGACAATATATGAAAAGGCTAGTTGCCTCCCTAAGCGAACCCCCGCATCCTAACTCTTTTGTTAATCTACTTAATGTTATTAGCACAGACCAACAGACGTAACTCTTCAATGTGTATCTTCGTTCACGCATTTAACGGTAGATTTGAATATTATCAGTTTCGCGAACTACTCGCCGCAGCGCTGGCATCGGATCACTTTGACGTTTCTATACATTCTATAGAACTTTCATGCAATATTGTTTGCGAGTTAGGGAGCAAGCTTGTTTTCCGCAAGAAGCCTGAAAGATGTCGTTACTGAGGTCCTATGTTTTGAGATACTATGTTTTCAAGAAAAACTTTTTCAAAGAGTTACGTCTGTTTGTCTGTGTTATTAGGCTGTCCAAATTTTCTTATTTAAGTTCGTTTGATGATTATGATATCTCATTATTCTAATTTAATAAATAATTGAAATCTCTAATCAATCATAACTCATGCTTTATTAAGTACCTAAGCTGCTATGTAATCTAAAATTTAACGTGTTTCAAGTAATTTTGACTTTGATCTATATTTATTAAATCTTAGATCGACCCAGGTGACACCTTCAAGTGACTAAAAGGTATATGCTCCAACTACACTCACACGTTTCCACTATGTCGTCCCACAAAATTACGTATGGATATGTCACAATAGAAGCACGTCACAGTGGAAATCCCGAGGTATAGTTCAAACATTAATCCCAAACCAAAATGAAGCATATATAAGATTAGTGACAATACCATGGTGGTGTTTAATATTGTTCCCTGAGTAATGCTTCAATGAAAACAACAATGAAAGCTTGTCACGTAAATAGAAGGAGCACCGTTGGGCACTTTCTGAAATATTTCAATAGTATAATTCCCGTGCAAACCCAAATAAATCTATCTGCGTAAAAATAAATAAAATAAGAGTGATTTGCGGCAAAACTCGCCAGTATCGCACGCAACGTCAGTGCCTATACGTAAGCGTACTACGACGCGACTTTCAAATAAAGGAGTAAAAAGTGTGATACTATCACTTCAGGCTAGTTTTGGTTTTCTTATGCAATGGTTCATCAGAGAGGGGAAGCTCAGTAATCCTCATCGCATGCTCATGACACTATTCTGTCATGGCATGAGCCAACGATGCCGGTCCTAAACCAACCGTCTCCAACGCTCCACTATGAAGCATAAGATTAGGCCCGCCCACCAACGTCCAGGTTAAAAACTAGCCAAGGGGAGGGGGAGTTTGGTCAGGAATAGTTGGAACATCATTAAGAATCTTAATTCGTGCTGAATTAAGCCAAGGGGAGGGAAGTGCAGGATATTTTGCAGGAATTGAAGAATTAAGACGCATCAAAAGTTCCCGGACCTGACGGAATTCATCCAGTATTTATTAAAAATCTAGCAATGGAACTCACATTGTTTTGACTTTTATTTTTTTTCTATATTTACAGCCTTCCATTATTGTCTGTAGGAGCTAAATGGAGCCGAGGAACTAATTTGTTTTGTGTGCATTTTGGGGGATCGAGTTCTTCTTTTTTCTTCACCTGATTTTGCTTCTTCTGCATCGCTTCGTATTCGTATACACTGAGGCAAATAGACCTATGAACTTCATAAGGCTTGACGTATGCACAACATATATTAATTTCATAAGCGTGACTTATGAATGATTTTCGGGTAACATGAGGTAGCTCTTTGGGCCGGCGCCGGTGGTGTAGTGGTAAGCGTGACTACTTTCTAACACCCCGATGGGTCTGGGTTCAATCCCAGCCGAAGTCGGTGGGATTTTTCTGAGGCATAAAAATCTCTGGTCACGTCTTCATTCGGAAGGGAAGTAAAGCCGTTGGTCCCGGCCCATGTGTGTTGAATGGGTGCGATATCCTACGCAGGTGTGGAAGCTGCCTTCCTGCACATTCGATTGCCGTCAATGGATGGCAATCGATGTCCGTCGAGGCTTTGGCACTAGATTGCGGAACAGAGACCGACGTTAAATAAAGGAAAGAAGATGAGGTAGCTCTTATACGCTTTCAACCATTTCATTCTCCCAAGCGTTGAAAGACGAGTGGTCAACACACGGGCCCCCTAACCTCAACGTCCATTTTCCGGTTCCAGTCTGCTTCGATTTATTATTTGTTTGTCAACATTATTTTTAATAAGGCAAATCAATGAAATTCACACTCATTTCTTATGGCTAAAATTCATATTCTTATGGAATTCTTACGTTCTTTTGCCTGCGTGTAGATCATTCCAATGTTTAACTTTCACCATCCCTTCATGCAGCACCTCTATCTCTTCCTGCTTCCTGGCTGCTGCTGTCCGACGATGCACTTCCAGCCACTACACCAGCTTACGAAATGCTGCGTTTATCGTCCTGTTTTTCTTCATCCTGATTATTGCCCAGATCCAGATGTTGCTGTTTATGGGACTTCCGATTGGGGCAGAAATTCATCCGGTGCCCCACCGCCTTACAAAGGAAGCATTTATCCTTATTCCATGAATAGAATATATTCCCCTTCCGATTGAGGAAATTAAGCGAGGAGGGAATCGTCTTTTCAACGTCCATGTAAAAACCTCGCACTCCTGTGAACATATTTTGCTAGCACCAACGTTAGATCACTATCTAGTATTTCTGATGGCAGATCGTATACTCGCACGTTTTGCACGTCACATCCGGCATTCGTACCTCCACTGCCTTTCCATTAGCATATTGAAAAGTTAGTTGCTCCGGGTTATGCAATCTTTAGAGTTGGAAAGCAAGTCTGCCCAACGTTTTTAAACCGCGGGCCAAATGTTAGAATTAGAAGGGTGGTGTACTGGTAAGCATGATTGCATCTCACCCCAACAGGCCTGGATTCAATCCCAGTCGGCGCCGCCGGGAT